TCACCCCGGCCCCGCCGCACGAGGTGGCTCTGAGCGCAGACGTCAGGTCGCTTTGACACCGAAAGAACCGCATGCGGTTAATTTGCGATTTCAACCTCTCCGCTGGGGTTCCAAGGTGCTGTTGTGGTTTCAGAGGAAAGGTGGACGCCTGGAACAGTCCCTGAAGAGGCTGGAGGCACACGTTCCCCACCTACAGGAGCATCTTTTCAAAAATTGCTCAAGTTTTTATTTTTATGACGCACAGAAGGTCCCAGTGTGTAGCACAGGGAACCAGAGCCAGTATGCTGTAACACACCGAAGCATCTCGTTTCATGAGGAAGCAGCCGGGGGCCGGGAGCCCGCCGGGCTGGGGTGACGCTGTTAGTGTGCTCCAGGCCCGTGGTGTTGCCGGGTCCTTTGCAGCTGACTTTACAGACCCCACTCCTCCTCACCGGTCTGGAGATGTCTTTCTCTAAGGCCCCTGCTTGGCGGCATCTGGCGGAGAAGCGGGGAGGAGCGAGAAGCAAGGATGGTGTTTACCCAAAGCGCACGTCCTGCTGCAGCAGCTGCTGGTCCACAGGGAAGACGTGATGCGGAATCTTCTAATTAGAACAAATTATGCTAAAATTGCTCCAAAACCCGGTCTGATGGATGACACACTACAGTGGGAATTCCTTTAAATACCGGTGAACAGGCCACAGACAAAGTGCCACAGGCGAAGCACGGCGCGGTAAGCCAGCGCAGACTCGGTGCTGCATAATTCATGCTCTCACACATATGTCGAGACAGTTTCCAATGTGCATTTGTTTCCCAAGAAACTGCCCACACTTAAAAAAAAAAAAAGCAAGACGGAAGACTCCAAAATACAGAGGCTGGACCCGGAATGTTGGAAAACAATTAAGGAGAACGAGTTATGTGTTTTCCTTTGATGCAAAAACAACCCAAACCCTAACAAAATAAAATGTCATAGTGGAAAGAGAGGGCCACACTGGACAGGAAAGTGTGATCAGGAGCATAAAACCTGCCGTTAGGTCTCAGCCCTGCCTGCGGCCTCAGTTTCTAAATCTGTCAAATGGGAATGGATGCCTAACTCCTCCCGGCACCAAAGAGGAACATGAGACGCTGTAGGTGAGACAGCGGATCACAGACAAAGCGCTCCACAGAGGAAAGGCGGGTGGTGCACCGTTGATGGGGCGGCCCCACGGCGTGCTGCGCTCCGAGTAGGGGGCACGCAGAGCTCGGGGCGTCGTGTCAAGCCCCAGGTTTACAACCGAGGCCCGCGAGGCAGCCGCAGGTCCGTGGGGCTGTGCCCTCTCTTACCACTGCTGATGGCTGAGTTTGCAATGACCGTAGCCTCATTCCACTGGTCGGCACTGGAGACAGAGTAGGAGCGCTGCTGCACGCCGTCCGGTCGGCTGCTGAAGGAGCCCAGGCTGACGCCGCTTGCCATCTGAGACCCAGGCGCACTAGTGACATTCCCTAGGAATAAACAAGGCAGGTGAACACCAGCGCGGACTGCAGACCCGAAGCCAGCACCAGTTCGTCTAAGGCGCCTACGTGCCTGCACACCGTGGACCCGACACCGAGAGCAGCTGGTGTCCTGATACAGGACAATGATGTACAGGTCCTGATGGGAGCATCACACGAGCATCTTCCAGAGGAAAATTGGGTGAAGCAACTCCTACAGGGCTTGACAAAGGAAACTGACACTTCAGACCGCTGCACACGCAACAGTCCAAAACGCAGACAGGCACCGCCACTGCCGTCTCTAGATTGAGCAGAAGTGAAGACAGAAGACCTACTTTGGGGAAAAGTGATGTTCAGGGCAGGCCAGGGAGACGGGCCCTGGAAGAGCCCTGCTGGGGCAACATACCAATGGAAGCGACATGATCACCAACTGTCTGCGCCAGAGGATTGCTTTCACGGGGAAGCTATACTTTACGAGCAGCACAAATCAAAGTTCCTAGATGCCACATTGGCGGAAACGCAGACTCTTAAACCAGGTAAGTTTACTCTTAACCTTGAAAAGACTACGCAGAGGAAAAATCACCTTAGCGACTACAGAGCGCGCGCACGGACCGTGATGAAAAATGGTTCCATTGGACACTTAATGATTTGAATCAGTTGCTCAACATCAAAATGAATTACTCTTTGGTCACACCAATTTTCAACTCAAAAACATAATTAAGTGCCTTTCTCTAAAGCTCATCCAGTCACACCTTGCTGCTAGTGGATTAGTTTGCTGGGTCTACGTGCAGCTCTTCAAAGGTGTTAGGTTTCTCTTTTTAAACTTTTCTCTGATTGTTTCAGTTTAGAAGCAATTAAGTTTTAAATTGTTTTAATAGAAGGTTTTCATGGCACAAGATTTTAAATACATAGACCCTATCTGTAGTTCCCCAAACTGGCCAATTACCAGAATTACCCGTGGAGCTAGTTCTAAAAAATAGAGGCTTCAAACAATTCAAATTTTGATTGAGAAGGTCTGGGGGTGGAACTCGATAGAATACACATTTGCAAAAGCACTCCGGTGATTCCGGTGAGCAGCCAGAGGTAGGAACCAGGGCTCCACCAGTAACAACGGTCCCCACGGTAACCCCACGGGACGGTACAGAACCATCCCTGCGTGATGCACGTGTGAGCAACAGGCCAAGCAAGTGATTAACGAAGAGGAAGGATTTTGCTTTTAAACGCGTTATTTCCGTCTTGAAAAATGATGCTGATTTTATGCTGTTGTGGGAACCGGGGACATTTTTAATGTCGTAAGAGAAATTATTCCCAGGAAGGCTTACACGATTCCAGGAAAAAAAAAAGCCAAAAGTAACAGCTAAGAAGGAAAGAAAGGGAGGCCACGAATCTCCCTGGAGTGTGGGTCTGGTGCCAGCAGCAGCAGCATCACCGGGGAACGTGTCTGAAATGCAGATGCCCTGGCCCCACCCTCTCACCTGCTTTATAATAAGATCTCAGGTGATCTGTGCACACGTGAAAATATGAGTGGGTCTGCAGAGGAGCTCCGACGGATTAAAAAACGCTTAGCGCAGAAGATAACTGCTAACATGGAACAAAAACTACAAGGGAAGTTCTTTGCCAGCACGGACCACTGAGATGAAAGCTGCTCCACGGACGTGCACTGGTCCTGGCTCCTCAGTCTGCAGGAGTCCTGCAGGCCTGGAGTCAGGCTCCCCATCTCCCTCCCGGCTCCGACGTGCTGATTTTAGGACCCGCACGCACCCTAAAACCTGGAAATATGCACATCCTGGATGACAGCTCTGGCATCTGTCCTCCCGGCAGGACCAAGTGTGTGGCATCGCACAGGTATGGAGGAGCAGTCCGGGCTCAGCCAGGTGGCACTAAGGGACACACTCCACATGCCATCACTGAGGGCACTCGTAGCTCTCCTCCGAGTGTGAATCTCTTTGGCCAGGTCCCTGTCACAGCAGGGCGCAGGCCTCCTCCTGAGCCTGCGCTGACACCTGCACCCCCCACCTCCTCACCACACCTCCCCGGCCCTGCTCCGCTCAGAGGAGGATGCCTAGAGGGCAGCAGCCATTTGCTCAGGTCCCTCCGGGTCTCTGCTGGGCTCAACTGGGGGGGACAGCATAGGACTTGGGGGCAGCGAGGGATGTAAAGTGGGGTTCCCTCCACCCCGAACAGGTCTCCCTGGGCTGTCCCTCCATTGGAGGCTCGCTGGGGCTACCCCTCTCTCCTCTCCCTCTGGGGCTGTTCTGGTCCCGGCGCCACTCTGCCATCCCCCCCTCCCGAGTCTCTCTGCCCACACCTCTGTCCCTTTGTAAAGAAATCCTTCTGAGCCAAAGGGTGTGGGCCTGGGCCTTCCCCGTGGGGACCCTGGTCCCGAACACCCACCATTCAGGAGGGCATCACATCCCCTCCCGGGCTCTGAGACCCCTCACTTTCGTCACGGGAATTCAGGACACTGCTAGCATCTTCCTGGTGGGTGAGAGGAAGAGGAGAGGATGGAAGGGAAGAGGGGAACAGACGAGGAGAGGCAGCACGCACGCTCCGAGCAGGGCTCCCTGAGCCGGAGGCCCACGGGGACACCTGCTGTTTGGGGACAGCGTCAAGGGGACCAGTCTTTCCTTCCTTCCATGCTGGTTCGTACCCCTGACAAGTCATTACCAAGTGTGGAATCTGTCCACAAAACCTCCCTTCATACCACCGTTAAGCACACAAAGTCAAAACCCCCAAATAAACGCACTGCCGCTTGTCTCCGAGCCTGTGACTCTGCGGGGCCTCTTCCCTTGTTCCTTCTGGCTGCGGTGGGCTCCCAGGTCGAGCAGCCCAAACTCTGCGGGCACACGTCCGTTAAAAGGCAGAGAGGAGCACAGGGGAGGGTGCAGCGCGGGGGCAGAGCGCGTGCTTAGCGTGCGTGAGGTCCTGGGCTCGACCCCCAGTACCTCCATTAAAAATAAATACCCTCCCCTCCAAAGAAAGACGAAAACAAGCAAGGTGGGGAGAAGCATGTCAGCGCGTCTCGCTGACCGCTGGAGGTGAGACTCCAGGGAGCAGCGTCCACGCTCGCTCAGCATGGCCAGGTCAGTCGGAGCTTCGGATAAGGAACACATGAAGTACTCAGCCGGGCACATCTGATGAGGAGCTGATCTTTGGATGACGAGTTCTTCCTCTTAAGGCCAAACAACTGCCACAGAAAAGGGAAAGAGGAGACGCCCTGAGATGTACCCACTAATGGGAAACCACACAATGGGGCTGATCAGACACCCGGGTCTTGAACTTCCAGCGGTTTGCCGAAAGAAATTTTAAGCACGGATCCAATACATTACGCCGCTGGTGGACCCGCTCTGGCGTTTAGCCCCCACGGGACCAAACCGAGATCTCTGAGGTGATCTCCTGCCAAGCCGGCGTGGCCCTGGTGTCTGACCACAGAACCTGGGGACCCCCTCCGAAAGCCCACCCTGCGGGCCCTCCACCTTGCGAGGGTCTTCTCACCCCAGTCCCACCCAACTCCTGACCGCTGGACTGGACAGAGACACCTTGACTGAACCTTGGCCAAATGGACTTGTGTATATGGGCACGTGGTTTAAAAGTAAAAATTGAAAACAGATCTGTAATCTTGTAGCCTGGAGTCCGGGCTGAGCTCAGAGATGATTTTCGTCCAGGGGACAACGATTTTTAAGTAGAATTAACCGGGGAGATTTCGTCTAAAAATCTGCAGTTTCTGGCATGGCTTAAACATGAGATTACGTGGCCGCCCCGGGCCTGTCTGTGCTCAGAAACACTTAGCTGACTCTGTCTCTGAGTCTGTCTGCACCACCTGAACCCACACCGCAGGAGCCAGGCACAGCCCAGCCCTCCTCCCACCTGCTTCACCCCGCTGCCTGCCTGCCTGGTTCCTCATCTTTGGTGACTGTGGGTTACAGCATCTTCCAGAAATGTGCACAGGACGATTCTCATTTCAGAAGGAACACATTTCTCATTTCCTCTCAAGAGAGTAAATTTTTTTATACATGCTCAGTCACTTTATTTTAATTTCGGCTAAAAGTTTTCTAAAAAATCAAATAACAAAAGATCAACTGCCTGGGTTCAACCCCCAGCACCTCTACATAAACAAACAAACAAACAAACTGAAGGACATCCCAAACTCTCCGGGCACACGTCCCCTCCTGTGGGGGGCGGGGAGGCTTGCCTCTCCTGAGATGAGCAGCAGGGCTGCGACCCCTGCGAGTGGGGGGGTGGGGGCACTTTCCATTTTTCCTTCCCTTCGCCCCTCACCCTGAGACTGAGTTCTGCCAAGATGCCCTCTGCTGATGGACAGGCCCAAAGGTCCGTGTTTCTTCACTTCACGGCACAGGGGCTGGTACCTGCAGTTCCAATGACCTTTTCAGAAATGTCTGCAGAGTGAACAGACTGGGGCGCTAGAAGCACCTCCCTCCAGGAGAGGGCAGATCACAGTGCCGCTGGGATGGTAACATCGCCTCCCAGGGCCATGCCGGACAGGCCTGCCTGCGCCCCATTTCTAAGCTCGGGGTTCCTCTCCTGTAACATAACGCACTGTGTGTGCTGGGTCACCTGGCCCCAAAGGAACAAGTGTATGACAATGCTGAGATCCCCTGGCCCCAAAGGAACGGGTGTATGACAATGCTGAGACCCCTGCTGTGAGTAATAAGCTGTCACCTGCCCTGATCCAGGAGTCTCACCATCCAGGAAACAGGCAGCCTGAACTTGCACGGATGGTGAAAGCAGACCCTGCAGGGTCCTCGGCACCTCTTCTAACACTGACCTCCTCCATCTCCTTGTCCCACTGCATGGGACCCCTGTGGTGCTGGGCACAAGGAGGAAGACAGTCCCTGTCCTTGGGGAAGCCACTGTCTAGTCCAGCAGAAGGTTCCAGACACGTCCACGAGTGGCCAGAACGCAGGCAAGGAACACAAGAGCCCTAGGAAGGCACGAGGGCAGAACATGTCTCCTGGGAGGTTCAGGAAAGACTTCATGCAACGCTGTGGGCT